GTCACTTATACGGTTTATTCATGGAATTTGTATGCCAAATTTAACTTGCAGTTTTTGTTTCACAACGATAGATAACGTAAATTTGACCATTAATCAAAGTTTTTATATTCAAATAAGAAATCGAATCGAACCGAATGTCGCTTTTCTTTTTTAGTTCGGTTTGATTGAAGTAGCCCTACTCTTCCTAATCACAAGTAGATAAATGATTAGCAATTTACTCTGCGATGATGAGAATATCACGTAAGTCTTGATTGGATAGTGTGAATTATAAACTTAATAATACACTTGTGGATTAAAATAAAGTTTGTAATATTAACATGTCAGTATTACTAGTTTATTTTAAATGTCAGCATATAATGTCATATCGTCACGGACGATTATTCATCGTAGTACTAGAAAAATTGAAGACATTTAAAAAAGAAAAAGAAATGAAAGCATGACATAAAAGTGATTCATGATTGCAAATACAGCTGGCATAATTGTGACGACGTAAAAAAAACGTTGTGTTATATGAAAATTATATTAAAGATGTCAAACGATCAATCAAAGATTGTTTTAACTTTATCGACTGCATTATATATTTATAAAAATTGATTATAGTTCAATCAATTATTTTTTCATTGAAGGCTTGACTACACTCGACCGTCATTTTGAAAATTCGTTCGAGTTCAGTTTGTTTTAATAAAACTTTAGAAAACGTACTATCGTTATATTTCAAAATTCAGCACATCTGGAGGGCACTACTAACTCAAATGTAATCTACCGTTTGAACTCATATTGAGCGTACATGAAGGTTTCAGTAAGAATGAAAAAGGATAAACGTATTTATTATTATGAACGTTTATAGTTTACTAAATTTTTTGACTCAGATTCAGGTACATTGTGAAAAATCTAGTAAGGAATTTTCAGTCAAAAAGAATGTTTCTTTGTCGAGATATTGAATTTCCAGAAAATAGTTACTTGCAGTGATTTATCTACTGGGTGGGCGCCACCCACCCGAAATTTTGTTTCGTCCACTCAAAAATATACAGCAGCTATTCGTCTACTGGATGGGCCGAGTGAGCGTCGCCCACTCGAAAAACGAAATCTAGATAAAACACTGGTTATTTGCTACAGGCATGTATCCCTATCTATGGACACATTTCGTTTTATGCTTTTCTATTGTTACCGAGTTCTCATGGTAGATTACACAATTTAGGCAGTTCCTTTGTTAAAAGTTTGATATAACAAACTTAGGTAATTCATAAAAATGAAGATTAAATATATGTCATTAATGTATTGTATTTTTTATTCTTGTTAGTTTATATTATTTATTTTAATGTTCAACGTATTGCATTTTTAAAATACAAAAAACTTAATAGATGGTAAAAACATTAGATGTCAATTGTGTATATAATTTTTAACAATCTAATTACTGTAATTTTCAATCAATCAAATACTATTTGCTTTTAAAATATTAAATCATATGAAATTTCTTCTTTTTTTTCTTTTCTCTACTATTCTAAATAAAAAAAAAAACTTATAAAAGTTGATCACATTTTAATGTTCTTTTTTCTTGACTACTTTGAAAACCAAGTTCAATCATTCGTATAACATTATAACCATCTTCAGGTCGAACTTCTAATGCTTTTCCATGAATAATAGCAGCATATAATTGTTCAAAAAAACGACCATAATTACCAGGTAATGTTTCATATTTTTCTTTTATTATTCGACCATCCTTTGTTTCTGTATGAAGAAGTCCATTATCTTCACTTGGTTCTTTACCCCAAGTAGTTTCTTCTAATTTTTTATCATTTGTTGGTGGCATAACACCTGTTCGAAGTACACTTTCTTGTACATCATCACCATATTTAATAAATGAACCTTTAGGACCATGTAAAACATATCGTGGACCCATTTCTCGAACAAGCATACTTGATTTAAGTGTAACACGTAAATGACCATAATCAAAACGAACATCAAAATAATCATCAACTTGTGAAACAGGTCGTTGTATTCGAATATCAGCTGTAATTGTTTGTGGATGTCCAAATAAACTTAATGTTTGATCAATTAAATGTGAACCTAAATCATAAAAAATACCAGCACCTAGTTCATTTCGTTCACGCCATGCATCACCACCTTTTAATTCTGGTCGATAACGATCAAAATGTATTTCACAATCAAGTATTTCATCACCTAATAATTTTTTATTAATAATTTCTTTTATTGTATTATAACCTGAATCATATCGACGATTTTGATATGGACAAAGAATAAGTTTTTTAATTTTAGCAAGTTCAATTAATTCTAAAGCTTCAGAACTTCGTATTGTCATTGGTTTTTCAATAACAACATGTTTTCCTTTTTCTAATGCTTGTTTACTTAATGAATAATGTAAATCATTTGATGTTGTTATTATAACAAGATCAATATCAGGATCATCAAATAATTCTGTTGTTGAACGAACTGTTTTTATATATGGATAAATTTTAACAGCTTCATTTGAATGACGTTCAACTACACTACGAAGTTCATACATAGTTGACATTGTATGTATAAATGGTGCATGAAATACGCGACCAGATAATCCAAAACCAACAATACCAACACGTATCTTACGTGAAGATGACATTATACTTTTGTCTATCTAGAAAGATTAAATAATAAACAATCTAGTATGTTGTTTCATCCATATTTAGAATTGTAGGTTTTTAATCAGTAAGAATTCAATATTTGAGATCGTAGAAAATGACTTGCTAAATGTCTAATATTACGAGTAAAGTATGATATTCATGATGATTGTACAAAGTGAGAGTCAGATATATCTAAGAAATTAGAATTTTAGACAGTATAATTAATGAAAATTTTATGATATTAACAATAATTGATTTTGATGAACTGTTTGTGAATAATATATTAATATTTTAAATCACACAACTATGAAATATGAATGTTTAGTTTATAATTTGACAACAACTTATGTTACTATCTCATTTAGTCATATGTGATTCAGTACTTATGTTTCCGAATGTGAACGGGATCGTAAGACTATCTCTTTTTGTTTTTTATTCTATGATACACATATATATTACTTTTGTATTGATGATATATTTTTTTTCTAGCATGGTTTAAAAAAGGAGTACTTCGAAATTGAAAAAGTATTGAGAATATAACAGCATATATATATATATTTTGATTCTTTATAAATTTGAATAAACTCGATCAATAAAAATACATATGAATTCTTATATTAAAATTCGTTTTCTTTTAATAAAACATTATTAAGATAAATTTTGTTGATTCTTTTTTAACATAGTTTTATCTAAAACAATGTCTCGAAATAGAATTTTTATTATCTTTTATTTACTTATTTTACCTAGATGATATCAAACCGTTTGAGAAACGTTCTCTACATGCTAAATTTGTTATATATTACAGAAAATATCATATCATTCAAATTTCGAACATATTTTTCTAGTATAAATCAACAATAATGAAATTTTTCTGCCATAGTGACACATCTCTATTCAATACAAATGCAAGCTTAAAATACAGATATATCTCGTTTACTTTCTTTTAAGTTGTTGAACAGAGAAAAAAAACAAAACAGTAGATTCTTTCTTCTCTCTATACTTTGCCTTTTATATCTTAAATAACCCAAACATATTTCTACATGATTATAGTCAAAACTTGATCAACATTAAATCACAATATAGTAAATAATATTTTGAAAAAAAAACAGACATAATCGTATGTATTGTTACTTTCTTTGTTTTTGGTGTTTTTGTTGTTTCACATATAACCAAACAGAAAACAAAAAGTAGTAGAAGAATTCATTTCTGCTAACATAAAAGAGAAAAGTAGACAACCACACAAACACACATAAAGATCAGAAAAAAAACAACTTCGCTTGACCGGAAATGATTCCTTTTTTTTTTGAATTGTAAAATGGAGAGTGAACGAGAAAAAAAAGAAAAAAAAACAAACAATAATAATAATAATAATAATAATGATAATAATCATGATAAGAGTAACAACATGTTGACAGTTACAACAACAACAATAAATAGAGTTGTATGAATAAAAATTCTCTTTGTTTTGTTTTGTTTTGTTAATTTTATTTTGTATTTTTCTTTGACTTATTAGCATTGTGTTCTAATTATTTTTCTTATTACTATGACTACCAGAAGATATAACAGATTGTTCCAAAATTTCATCATTGTCAGATTTACCATTTGTTAAATTTTGTTGTTTTTGTTTAAGTTTATTTGGAATTTTAGGTGAAGCTACAGTTGGTGGACGTGTACTACGTTGTTCACGACGACGACGCATATGAAACTAAATTATTTTAATTCGATTCTTAGATTTAAAAAAAAAACAAATAATATTTTACTTGAATAAAATTCCAAACAAGCCAAAATTGTAAAACACCGGTAGCAATAAGTGTAAATAAACGAATAGTTGGTGTATTAAAATTAGAAATAATAATTGATTCATTTAATGTACCATTATTTTCATTTATATTTGATATTGATGTTGTTGTAAATGTTATTTTATTAATTGATGATGTTTTTAAACCAAACCAAAATGTTAACCATGCTAAAACAACAGATGCAAGACGTCCAATAACAAATATTATATTCCATGTTTTAAATAAATAAATTGATATTAATTTAGCTGTTGTTGAACCTGTTTTAGTTGTTGTATAAAAATATGCAAGACGTGAACCATGATAAAATATTTCAATAAAATAATGTAATGTTAATAAAACAAGTGATATACGCCAAAAACGTGTTAAATAAGCATAAAGTATTGTTATTAAATATAAACTTGTATAAACAATACGTGATGGTATATCTTCTTTTCGAACTTTTTGTAAATATAATTCAGGAAAATTATGTAACCAATATGATAATTGTATAATAAAATAAAGTTTTGTCCATGTTGTCATACCTGTATATGGATAATCACGCCAAAGATATTCTAAACCTGATCGTAAATAATCTTCATCATTAAATAACATAAAACCCCATAAAACACTAACAATATAGAATAGAATAAGTTGACCTGATTCAAAAAATTTTGCATTTTTAGATTTTGATAAATGTAATTTTTTATATAATTTATCCAAAACATATTCTTGCCATATAGCATGTGCTGTTATACAAATAAGTGTATAAGAAAAAAGCATTGCTAAATCTTTATAACCATAATTAAATAGTGGTGGTGGTGAAGAATTAAATGAATCAAAATTTGTTACATTATGACGTGGACCAAAAAATGCCGTACAATAAGGTGATGTGATATGAACTAATGTACCTAATGCTATAATCATTAATATACCACAAGCAAAATCACCTAAATAAAATAGAATAAAAAATTTATTTTAATCAAATATAAAGATTATAATTATAAATATTTCAAAAATTTTAAGTGAATTATCTTTATTTTATTTTTAAATGAATGTCCATGGAAGAGATTATTTTTTTGCGTAGAGACAATCTTTAATAAAATACCTTAAAATGCATTGTTTCTAGGAAACTGCGGGACCACGTTTTTTTCATAGCGAACATAAAAAAATTTTTAAGAAACCTATTACGGTGTCGCACATAAGTGTGCGCCGTGTAATGTGTATATTTTCTGATTGTGCTCTTATAAATAGTCTATTATCTGTCTATATGTGAACATTACAAACATGTTAATGTTAATAGATATTTGAAAACATCGGTTCTTTTTTTACGAAATAATAAAAGAAATTATTGATCATCAATCGACTTGAAAAGACAATTGAGTTCTTTTTTTTTTATTCAAAATAATTTTTCGGGATTAGCTAAAAAATGGTTTCAGTCCCGGTCCCGCGAGACCATTTTGCAGTTCCCTAATTATCCCAGTAATAGTAAGCTAGATTTCCTGAATGATAAGCAGTGTTTTATCCAGAGGGGTGCCCGGCGCCCCCCGAAAATCGAGTTCGCCCTCCCGAGACTTGTGATAATCGTGCTACGAATACATGGCTTGCCCCCCCCCCCCCCGAAAATAATTTTTCGCCCCCTCGGAAATTCAATATGGTTGAAAAATTCAAGATTCTATTTTGTTGAATAGTTAGAAAATCATTGTATTCTATCTGCTTTTTTTTTTTTTTGACGAAAAATTATTTACAAAATTCTTACCATGATTTTGAATAAGATATTCTTGACTAAACATAGGTGGATTTTTTGTTCCAGATTTTTTCTTAAGTGCCGGTGGTGGTGGCATAATGTTATTGTGTTATGATTCAAATTATGGAAGAAAAATACAAAAAACAACAACAACAAACTATCTAAAATCCAAGAAAAAAAATAACAACAAACTTAGTATTTAATTTATTTTTATAATTCAATCATCAAAATGATGAAAATTTTTCTACATACATATAATAAATTTGACATGAAAATATATTCAAGATCAATAATTACTTTATGATACAGCTATTATATACAAAATCTTGCAAAATAGAATGAATACATATGAAATGACCATATCTAATAACTGTTATAGAATCAACTGATTCATCTTGAACAAAAATGAAATAATAAATTTTGATAATGATGGAAATTCTTTATTTGAAAGAAAACAATGTTTAGCAACTACATACTAAAAGTTGTTTAACTGAACATATGCTTATAAGTAATTAACAAAAAAAAATAGGAAGAAGAAATGATGTTTTTTTTTTTTTTGTTACTCTGTTAATTAATTAAATGTTGAATGTAACAATTCTCAATAGAATTAAAGAAATATTTTGTTGCTACTTTTCTCAAGTAAAAAAAAAAAGTAATTTGTACTTTTTATGTTTGTGATAAAACTAATTTAGTTGAGCTTCGTCCAATGGGAATTCCAAGATGTATTATCAAATAAATGAAGATTTTTTGAAACTACAAATCTTACTGATGATAATAATTATTGAGGAGGTATTGATAATCGTTATGAAAAAATAATTAATTTAGATGAATCAGTTGCTCATTCTAATACATACGAAATGAATATACATCAATAAAATAAAATTTATTATTCGATTCCGAAGAGAATAATTCACAAGGTATAACATTAATTTATAAAACATTTAATAAGCAACCTGGTGTTTTTATTCGTATAAATATGTGATGTAGCTGCAGAATTTAAAGATAATATAGTTAAATCTTTCTTAGACAAACAAATGATACATGATGATCCATTTTTTTTTTTAGTTATAATTTTGTTAATTATCTAGTATATTAGTTATCATATAGAGAAAAAACCAAAAAAATACATGAACTTCATGTACTAAAAATTTTGAGACAAATTTCAAATAAAACTATTCATATTTTTATTGTCTAACTCAATAGAGTTCATACCTGATTGAAATTCAATATTTTTTAAAATTTCTATAGTAGACTTTTGGAATAATAAAAGTAAAAAAAAAATATATATACGAAAATGATAATATAAATTTACTCGATGAAATATGATCGGTATAGAATGACCTTACAAAATGTTTATCAAAAATATGAAATTTATTTTGTTTTTTCTATATGAGTATTTATCGATAATACTTTTTCTTTTTTTCTGTTATAGAAATAAAACATAAGACAATGATTTTTTTTTTCGTTCTATTCTTCTTTGTTTGTTTTTTTTTTGAAATAAAGAAAATGCACATTCTATTTAACACTGAATTCTATACATACAAATAATAATTGTGTGTGTGTGTCAATATTTTGAAAATTTTTATGCATCACTTTCAGTTCCTCCTGTTGAATGAACAATAGGTGATGGTGGACTATCACCATTTTTTAATGATGGATTTGAATTTGTTTTTATTGGTGATGTTTGTTGTTGCATTATTGTTGTTATATCTTGATTAACACCATGTATTGGAACAATTAAATTATCTTTTGGAATAAGACCATAACGTAATGCAAATACAGTAAAACGACGACATAAATGTGTACGTCCTTCAAATTCATCATATATTGGACGATGATGATAATATGCATGAGAAAATATTCGATAGATACGACGACATACACTACCTAATTTAGCAATTGAAGTTTCTTTGATTGAGATTCTATGTGAAAGTTAAAAAACAAAATTATTATAATATTTATTTCCTTATATTCCTATTAGACAAAAAAAAAAATTTTTTTTCGATTCGAATTGCTATTTCCAATACTAGGATCTTTTTTGTGTATATTATGAAAGTATCATAAACATTTATTCAAGATTAAACGATGAGAGAGAAAAACAAGAATAGACATATACTAATGATTATCTTCTTCTATAAGATCATTAGATGTTTCTATTATCTAAATTAATAATGAAAGAAAATACTTTTATCTTTGTTGTTTCTGACTTACGAGGGAACATTCCCAAGTGTCACATCGCTTTTGAATCGGTCGTATGGGAATTATGTAGGTCCTAATGATCTATGAATCCTCTCAAAAAAATTCGTGCCGCTAGCTTCTTACTGCTGAGATATAGCATTTTTTGCTATATGTGTCGGAAAAAGCCGTGGTCTGCCTCAGGAACAGTGAGTTTTGAATTTCAGCCTAAAACTTTGCATGTATATAGGCCTCAATGAGAACAGTTTATTGTGAATGTTTCAGATTTTTTGGTTGCTCCTAGTTTGAGATAAGAACATCGGATCCGCTGGTGTATATGAGCAATTTTATGATAATTGTATCTTAGGATAGGTGCAACGAAAAAAGCTGAAACTTTCACAATAAAGTATTCTCATTGAGCCTTATATCTACACAAAGTTTGAAATTGAAATTGAAAATTCAGTTTTCCAAATGTTCCTGAGGGGAACCACAGCTTAAACATACAGTAAAAAAGGCAGTATCTCAGCAATAGTAAGCTAGCGGCATGAACTTTTTTCAGAGAATTTATAGATCGTTAGGATCTACATAATGCGCATATGTTCGATTTAAAAGCGATGTGACAGTTGAGAATGCTTTCTCGTTAGAAATATTATTTTTCCTAATACAAATAGTCATATTTTATCAAAAGAAAATATTGTCGGCTAACAGAAAGAAAAAAACTTACCGGCTTGGAAAATATTTATTGCTGTTCAATAATGAAGCAGCACCATCTAATGTATGTCTTGTATAATCAATAGCTGGACACTAGAAAAATTTATTAATAAAACAAAGTTATAGGAATAAACATTTTTTTTGTTTTTATTTTACTTCTTTTGGATTTTTATGTGCAGCACATAAAAATATCCATTGTTCAGTTGCTGTCATTTGTGAACAAGTTTCAGGTAAACATTCTTTCTATTAAGAACAAAAAAAAAAAAGAAGAAGAAGATTATTTATTAATTTAAAATGATATTTTATTCGAATAAATACTTGTAAAAGAACAGTTAAATCATTCAATTCAAGACAAAATTGTCTTAAATGTTCATATTTCCAAACACCTTCATCTTGTTGATCAGGTGATTGAAGAATAAAATCAATATCAGATGGATTACGTCGAATCGATTGTTGAATATACTATAGGAATCAATTTTCAATTTTTTTTTTTTTTGATAATAAATTCATTACTTGTTGAATATGATAGAGTGAATCCATATTTTCTGATGTTTCTTCTGGCCAATGACACCAATCTTTTGCTTTAGTACCAGGCCGATTACGGCGTAATGGTAATTTAGTATTAACTTGTAGATCAGTCATATCTAAAAATATAAATAATAAGTACGAAACATCAACAACAAAGAGACAATTATTATTATAGCTGAAATTATCAACATATAAAAACGATATGTATATCCTGTATTCTTTTTGTTTTTTTATCAATCGAATTACTCATTCATTTAGTATCTTTATATAATGAGATCAACAAATCGGAATGTAATTGAGATTATAGAATTAATTTTAATTTTTCAATAACTTCATCAATAGATTTGACTACCGTCCATTGATCATTTAATTCTCGATTTAAAAAACGTTCATTAAACATATTTTCAAATAATTTTAATAATGGATCATAAAATCCATCGATATTAATAATAAATATTGGTACATGAATTAATTGAAGAAGTTTCCAAGTTATAGCTTCTGTTAATTCTTCAAGTGTTCCTATACCACCAGGTAATGCAATAATACCATCTGAATTCATCATCATACCATGTTTACGTATATGCATTGTTTCAACTTCATGAACTTCTGTTAAACCAGGATGTAATGTTTCACTTTTCATAAATGTTGGTATCCATCCAATAACTTTTCCTTGAGCATTAAGTGCTCCATCAGCTAATGCACCCATTACACCTTTTTGTGCTCCACCATAGATAACAGTTATATTTATTCGAGCAAGTGCTTCACCTAATTGTCGACCTATATCCAAAAATTTTCTATCACATATATCACTCGAACCACAATAGACACAAATACGTTTAGATGTCATCTCAAACGAAACAAACAAAATAAAATAAATAAATGAAACATGAAAATAAATTTAATTTAGAAATTTCTTTTTTTTTTTTCTTTTTTTTTCGTAAAACATCAAAGATTATAGATGTACAAAATTGTATATCTATTGATATTTATATATACATACATATGTATATGTATTTAAAGATCAACGCGTGATGCAAGAGGTATAGTTCGAAGTTCGTATTTTTTTGATAGATGTTCAGAAAGTATTGTCGTAATAATAATGGAGAAAAATTGTGTAACATACCAAGAAAATATACGTGGATATTGAGAATTATAAATCCAACAAGCTATAAAATGATATATATGAATCGTTACCGAAAAGTCTAGACATTGTTTATATCGACCGACTATATAAAGAATTGCTAAGCCACTAAATACAAAGAAAAAAAAAAAAAAAAAAGAACAGTTGTTAGTGTAATGCCTGTAGAATTCAAATGTGAAACACGATATATTCTGTTCATTAATTTTTGCACGAATGCAATAAGAAAGAACCGTGGGTATAGTTTGAATAAATTTCGATTGAAACAACATAGAAAACTAAGGTTTTGGTCGATATACAGAGAACATCCAGGCACATAAATACGTGCTGAAATTCAATTGGCCAACATTGGACCTATCAGATTAATTCTTGGTGGGCATATTTTTAGATTTATGTACGATCGATATTGTTAGGTTCTTTCGTTGAAGAGTTACGAGGGTCTTCTTGAGATTTCCGATTGACTTGGGATCAGTAGGTAAAGCATTTAGACAAGGAGGAGTCGAATGGCCACATTTGTTTTTGAATCGAAATGATCTGATATTTAT